AAATTTTGAAACAGAAAATACATACTGGCATCTTGAAATTATCTTGAAATAGCAAACAGGAAAACCAAATCAAACATGTTTTCTAAAATCTAAAAATTTTAAAATAATTCTTTTGAAAAAATAAAATATTTCCTAAAACCAAACGGGCTTGCCTCTTTTATTTTTTCCATTTTCAAAAATTTCAGATTTTCTAAACTTCATTTATATATCTTTATTTATCCAAAAATTGATATTTTTGGGGTTAAGTTTAATTTTTTTCAAATAAGGTTTTTTTATTTTAATTTTTAATTTAATAATTGAATTTTAAGAAATTCACAATGTAACGTAGATTTCTCTCAATTTTTAAATTTCATTTCTCAAATTTACTTTAATGTCATTTATCCAAAATGATTTTTAATTACATTATTTATCACACTCTCTACAAAAAATACTAATATTTTTTTAGTATCCTGTGATATTCTGCCCATATTAATTGATGAGTAAAATTATATTACATATAAAATTTTAAAGACTTTTACTAATTAAATATTTTAAGTCTATTTTAAGACGTAATTAATTATTAAGATTAGGAGTACTGGGAGTCCATAGTAAACAGTAGATACTTCTTTTCCTTCTTTGTTCTGTAATTTAAATTTAATTTATCTAAAAAAATCAATTCGAATTTTCCAACTCATAAGAGCCGGTGTCTGAGGGGCACATGGTGAACATTAAATGACCTGGAATGAAAAAAAATCCAAAAGAATACTGACTTGGTGGTGACATGGCAGCATGATTTCAAATTAAAAAAAAAAGAGTCAAATTGCAAACCCTTTTCTGCCCTAATTCCTTTCTTTTCTGCCGTATTCATCGACACGTTAACATCCACCAGAACCACCGACCTCCCACCTCTTCGAGGCGGGGGGAGCAACGCCACAGCTTCCAGGTCATCGGAAAACCCGCTCCGGCCACCCCCCGGTGTCAGTCTCACGTATTCAACGAAGAAGGAAAGATCCCACCAAATCCACAACCTCTTCTCCGCCACTCCGCCTCGCAAGCGGTGAACACAGTGATAGTCGGAGTTTATACCGGAAAACGAGGCACACAGAGAGGGGATGATTGTTAGAGTTTCTTCGTCGTCCCATTTGAGAGAGGCTTTATTGGGTATATCACGGCTACACCCAATCAACGCATGTTACAGTAATTTTTTCCCGTGACGAGGGTGGGCAGAAGCAAGCCGAGGAGTTGCTCAGAACGGAAGTGGGAAGAAGATGCGGGACTCCCTGATTCCGATTTCGGAAACGAGTTTATTAAATTAATAAATAATTAAACTCATTCTATCTAAATTTGTTTCTTCTTTAAACATATTTTATTTTTATAAATTTTTAAAATAAGATTTATAAATTTATTCAAATCTAAAATTATATAGTTAAATTCACTCTATCTAAATTTATTTAAATTTAAATTAAACAAACTGGAATTAATTTGCAAAAGAAAAGGAGATTGAGGCTAAACGATACGGAGTGAGTGGGTTTTACTCGGTTGATAAACTGACATCTGCAGTGACTTGGGGAGAAACGAGAGACGAAAAAGAAGAGGAAAAAAAAAAAAAGGGCTTGATCGGTCACTTTGATAACTGGCACATACAACGACTGACAAAAAAAGAAGGGTAAGAAGAAAAATTAAAAGATGAAAAATAAAAAGGAAGGAATAACAAAAGGGTTACGGTAACTGTAAGTGTAAGTACAGCTACACAGTAGGATTGAACGAAAGGCTCCTTGATCCAACATCATGGCCTGTTGTGTTGTATGTTCCGTATTTCTATAAAGCTGTATTTCAGTCTTCAATTTCTTTATCTCACTGTGGGCTGTTTGCCCGAGTTTTTAAAAAATTAGAAATTAGTAATTTAATCAAAAGTTTATAAAAATTAATTTTAATTAAAAATAAAGTATATTTATAGAATATATAAAACAACTTTTAAAATAGGTGAAAATAAGATTTGAGAGATAATTTTTATAAAAAAATAAATATATATATATATATATTTCTTAATCTGATAAGAATCTTTTATTGCGTTCAAGTTTTCTTAACTTCTGTTTCTTTTTTCTTTTCTAGTGGCACCACATGCAACAACTTGGGGATGTAACAAGAGTGGTCCTTGGCCTAGATCCTTCCCTCTCTTTTGGGTAGCAATGGTGAGGCTTGAGGACAACTGGTGACCATCACATCTCGGAGGCATGAGGCTAGTGGTGTAAAAGTAAAAGAGTATGCCGACTTTGCTAATTGGGAAATCTGCAGTTTTTGACTGAGTCAGTTCACTTACAAAATAATTTTTATTTATTTATAAAAATGTCATCAAAACTAAAAGCATCTCCTCCATAATTTCTTAAAATAGTTTTACTTCAAATATTTTCAATTTAAAGAAGCATTAGTTTACACTAAAAGTAGACATGCAAATACCTAGAAGCACTCCTCAAGTATCTGGCTTACCAACAGAGCTTTAGAGAAGCTCGTACAAACACCCTTTTAATGACATTGTGTAAAATTATGGGACAGGAGTGTTAGAATGGGATTGAGTGTATTTATTTTGAAATGAAAAATTTTAAAATTTTTCTAATAAAGTAATTATTCATATTAAATGTGGTGTGCAGGATGTTTATTGCATCTAATGATGCATTATTTCTTGTGATTTTCACGTCTTCCAATCCATTTACTTGCTAATTAATAATAAAATGATCATTTCATTAATTAAACATAGAGTGCTTGTGATAAATCAAATAAAGAGACGAAAAATCTAAATTTAAATTTAGGACGCCAACCAAATTTAAGAAAAATTTGGTTGAATGCCTATTAATTCAATCACTGAATGCCTCATTACTTATCAAATTTATTAATCGGCAAAATTTCAGTCATTAATTAGTGACAGCAAAATCGGTCACTAAAGGATCACTAATTGTTTCTTTCACTAGGTTATAGCATCAGTCACTATATAGTAACTATAGAACTGACAGTCACTAATTCTCCTTTTTTTGATAGTGCAAGTTTCCGTAACTTATGTTTCTTTTCTCTTTTTCAATGGCACCACATGTAGTGATACTCGAGGATATCATAACAGTGGTCCTCGACCTAGATCCTTTCCCTCCTACTTTGGGTAGCAATGGTGAGGCTTGAGGACAATTGGCAGCCATCACATCTCGGAGGCATGAGGTTGTTGGCGAAAAAGTAAAAGAGTATGCCGTCTTTGCTGATTGGGAAACCAGTAGTTTTTGGCGATACAGAAGAAAAAAGATGAATGAAGAGACAAAGAAAGAGAGGGGTTATTCTAGAAATTACAAAAAAAATGGGGGTAAAAGAGTCAATTCACTTACAAAATAATTTCTATTTATTTATAAAAATACCACCGAAAATTGAAAACATCTCTTCTACGACTTCTCAAAATATTTTTAGTTCAAATATTTTCAATTTTAAAAAGTAGAAGTTTAAACTAAAAGTACACATACAAACACTTAGAAGCACTTGTCATATATCAGTCTTCTAAGCTGAGCTTTAGAGAAGCTTGCCCAAACATCCCTTTAATAGTGTTGTGTAAATTTATGGGATATGAAGGGCTAGAACGAGATTGATTATATTTAATTTACAATGGAAAATTTTAAAATTTGTCTAATTAAGTAATTAGTCATATTAAATGTGACATAGGGATGTTTATGCATCTAGTGACGCGTTCTTTCTTGTGATTTTCACATTTCCAAATCCAATCACCTGCTAATTAATAATAAAATGATCATTTCACTAATCAAACATAGAGTACATATTGATAGTTCCTTGTGATAAAGATACATGCTTAAGGATTCCTGAGCAACTGCGGCGCGTTTGGTTAATAGGAATTTTGGCTTTTTACTATTATGAAAATCATATTTAAGTTTTTGAAATGGAAAAATTTCTAACAAGAATTATTCAGGGAACGATGTCAAATCATGAATTGAAATAATTCACCATATCCGTTGGCCTCATAAGTCACAGCCTAAGAAGTCTTTTTTCCTCTGGTTTTGTCTACCCTAATAATCATGGAATTATTGACATCAAAATTCATAAAGTGAAAGTACTCTCTCTCTCTCTCTCTCTCTCTCTCGGAGAAAGAAGCTGCTTGCAGAAAAAGCTAAATATTCCTCTAAAACAACCGACAAACAATATTAGTAATTGTCAAGGTTCCATCACTTCAATCATGCAGCCCATCTGTCGCTTATGCCTACTAAGTAACTCAACATACCATTTTTATGCACAAATCAATTCTCCTCTTCCCAATTTTTACCCTGTCTTTTTATCTTCAGAAAATGGAAAAGTACTTTTATCAATCAAAAAAAGACCAAACCGAACTCCTAAAACTTTTAAAGACAGTACAAGAAATGAGAAGAAACCATAATGGAAAGACATTTCCCCTTAGTTCCAAAACCCGGTTCATGGTTAATTTCTTGACGGCTAAATCACACCCTTGTCACAAATTATATGGGGATTACTCGCCGGCCGAGCTAACTATATAAAATTTAAGCTTCAGCTGATTTGACTTACAAATATTAAAAAAAAAATCAATGTTAATTATACAAATAAATTAAAATTTCTAAAATAAGAGAAAAGCCAAATCTTAATCTCTCCCCTTCTTGACTATCTCTTACCTAACCATCCTTTCTCCTGAAAAAACTCTACAACTAGATCTCAAATGGAGCTCTAACTATGGTATCATATATGTCAAGACTAACCCACTAATCTAAAATATTTAAAACTATACTTTTACTAACAACTTTTAAAAATTTTATTTATACCAAAAATATTTTTAAAACAAAGTTTTATATATCAAAGAGGACAAATTTAGGATTAAATTACTGCAGGATGAAATTAGAAAAAATTAGAATATAGAGGGCCACTTGTCATTTTTTATAAATTACACACTCCTGTGTAATTCCGTCTATATTATCAGAAAATGTCAAAGTGCATAAGTGAAAAAATGTCACAACAAGCAATTAATACTAACAGATTAAAGTCCAACATTCTTCCCCATGTAATGTTGGTGAAGAACCAATGAACTCAGGGTTGTGCCAATTAATCTAAAAGGGAAAAAAAAAACATCGAAATTTTAAAATGCCCCGAAAATGAACAATACAAACATTTCTTATAAATCACACAAACGTTTGAAAAAAAAAAAAGCAATATTATTCATGATTTGATGCCAACGCTTCTGCCGAGGAACATGAAAATCAAGTCAGAGGATTCATTGTTTTCAAGAATTTCCAAAACACAAAAAGGGTGCTGTGCTTTCCATTCCTCAGTCTATGCAGAACAATGGCACCCCTCAGTCTCTGCAACATGTCTAGTGGAAGATGATTTCTGACAAATCAAACATGTGAAACGAGACTGAATATTCAATAGCTTGCCGTGACAATCAATTCGATAATACTGAAAATTATGAAATTATTTGTTTGTCTCTGTCTTCCAGGCAACCAAATGGAGGACGAAATTGACAAAGTACTTCTACCTGATATAATCTTAGCTGAGAAGTTTCAAATGACTAGAGTCTGAGGAAGACTTTGGTTAGCACAACTAGAAGCCCTCAAACACAGTAGTCTGCGAGGCAAGATTTGATTGGAACATAAATTCTAATCACTCACGTAGAAGACTTTCAGAATCACTGCAATGTAGGTTAGACATATTACTTCTACTATTCTTTCTCATCCCATTATGTCAAAGTTTCGACGTCTTAGAGTAAACTGACATAGTGTGCTGCGTCAATATTGATCTTACACTAGCAGAAGAAGCCAATAGAATTAACTAGACAAGATTGGATTCTCTTTTTGTGAAGGAGAGAACGAAGAGAAGATTGCAAGAAACAAAGAGAACTGCCTGAAATTTGTCATGAATGGTTCAATCCATCGTTCTTGGCTACTACATCACAGCTCCAGAAGCTAGCAATAGATAATGGGTAAGTAGATAAAACTACATGAAAAAGCCAATAAACGTAGTTAATTAGAAATCCAACTGAACGTTGGCAACTTACTCCTTCTATGTTATTTAACCTAAATGTCCTCTCTGATTAAATATCTGCCAACATGAGAGTAAAATAGAACCCAACCCAAATGCATTTACCGGCAACATATATATATATATATATATATTTACTTTGTCTGCCCTAGAAGTTTACCACGAGTCACGACTAGGGTTTCCATAAGTTTCTGTTAGTATAGGGCTGTATTGAAATTTGGGGGGTGGGGGGGGGGGGGGGGGCGAGAAGCGGAAAAAATTCAATGGAAAATTTCTGGCATTTAGATAAAAACAAATTTAATAAGCTGCCGTACGTGTGGTCACAATCAATGTTGAATTCATTCAACGCAAACAAATTCCAGTTATTTACATCCATGGCCAAGAATCATGTCCATTAGAATAACAAAAGACCCGATCAAAAGGCATCAGGGGTCTCCGAGAGCCCACGAAAGAAAGAAAAAAAACAACCAAAAGAAGAAATGGGGACAGCCCATTTTCTTCACCAGAATAACATAATATCCAAGTCCAAACAAAGTCTGAACGCGGTCTAGATTACCCACCACCACTTAAAGAAAAGAAAAATCAAACATGCATGCCATCTTGAATGTACACATAATCATGTGCATGCATGTAATATAATTGTATATGGAGCTTCTATTAATTCATATAGACAAGTGTACGATATATATATATATATAATATTTTTATTTACATTAATTTTTTTTTTATAAAATGGGTGAAACCATAATTAAGTCATGAAAGGCGGGAGGGGGGACAAGAAAATAATAGGCCACAACAAATAGTCCACTACATTAGATATACCAATAAATACAAAAGATTGACCTGGGCGTCCTCTTCTTCATCCGTTGCAAAAGCTTGGATTCTCCTTGACTTTGTCTTATCCCACGGGCAAAACCCCATCCCCTTCCTCACTATGTTGCATATGGTGCTCACTTGATGCCCCTACAAATATCAAGAACCCAAAAAAGAAAACAAAATCCCAAAACAGAAGGCAAGATATGGCCAGGGAGATAGAATCATAGAAATGCGACCCAACTGTAAACCCTTGGCTTAATTTGAACCAACTTCCGCATATCCGTCGCACCTCATGCACATATGTTTAGAGATAGAGAGAGAGAGAGAGAGAGAGGGGGGGGGGGGGGGGGGAGTTAAAACTGATCATGATGATGGTGATGATACATTGAGGGAGGGTAAATGGGTGGTGGAGAAGAGTGAGGAGCATTGGTGTTATTGCCTTCCTCTTCACGAGAAATGACCAGAGCGGCGGACTGAACCAGCTCCAAACACAGCCTTAACTTGTTGGGCTCGATGTGGGCAAGCCCCGGCACCGCTCCCTTGAAGAGAAAATCTGACGTCAGGGTTCGAAGCACGTCCAAAGGAGTCACGCCATCGATCGTCCTAACGTTGGGGTCGGCGTGGTGGTCCAGAAGCACGGCCACCATGTCCGGCGACACCATCTCCGCGGCAATGTGGAGCGGCGTCTTCCCGGCGGGGCCCGCCGGATAATTCACGTCGGCAGCGCCTAGCTCCAGCAACGCCTTCACCACCTCCCGGCTACAATTTTGAACAGCATAGTGTAAGGCAAGTGCTTCGTCGAGGTTAAGACCTTCGCCCATGACCATGAGCTTGACAAGCTCCACGTCAGACGACTCGAGTGCCCGCCGCATCCGCCGGATTTTATGGTCTTCAAGCTCAGCGGTAACGGAGTGGTGGTGGTGGGGGAGGAGAGTGCGGCGGGGGAGGGAGGATTTGAGGCGAAGCTCTTCGATTTTGGCGACCACCTCAATCGGGAGGTGTTTGGCTAGAATTTCCGGTGGGAGGCCGGACTTGGCTACCAAGTGGGAACAAGTGGTCCAGAGCTGGTGCATGTCTTGCTTTTTTGAGGCCATCAATACTTTCATCACGTCCTCAATTGAAGCCTTCTCTACCACGTTTACCAAGTGTTTCTGCAATAACCAAAATGGAAGAACAAAATTGTGTTAGAACTTGCACACTGTTTTTCTGTTCTTTTCTTTTCTTTTTCCTTTAATTTCCTGTTCTCAATCTCAATTTTTCTGCTTTCGAGGCAAAATATACAAAAAAGCTACAAAATTTTGTTCTTTGCTTACAGTTTTTATTTTGAAGCTGAATTAGCTTATGAGAATTCTGAAAATAAATTTTGTTTTCTGTTCTGAAAATGAAGAAGACTATTCTCAAATCCAAACAAAAATCTACACTCAACCAGTCAAGTGTAGATAGGACAAGGTACAAGGCGGGGTCAGTGAATATTGAGCAAGTCATTTCTTATATCGTAGAGGGCTGGATGTGCCTATGCAAAATTGTGATTGTGTAGTCCTTTTGTTCTTCTCCTTTACAATCAGAAACACAAATGAGGAAAGTGGGTTGTTTTGGGGAAAGATTTGGCGTGAATCCCTGTGGAAGACAAGACTAGACTCAGGCGATTAAGATCCCCAATGTAGAAAGTCTTGGTTGCTGATATAAAGATAAGAGAAACCCACTTCAAGAAAAAAGTATACGAAAAAGAAAGAACTCCAAGAAATTGAAATGTTACATGAAATCATGATAAAGGAAAACTTCTTCTACACCATTATATGCGAAGAGAAAAGAGAAGAAAGGTAAAGAAAATGATCGGGTTGTTATATCAGCTTTAGAGCAGATGAACATAGGAACAATCGAAACGGCAGTTAGAACGGAGGAAGGCTGAAAAGAGAAATCCCAGTTAAAGGAAGCAACAGGAAGTGCCACTACTTGATGCCTGAGAGATCAAAGCCGACACCTAATATTTAAATTAAAAAATAATTGAAATCCAAAATAAAATCAAACTTTGCAAAACAAATTAAAAAATCAAAACCCACAAAAAAATATCTATCCCAAAAGGCAAAACCCAGAAATTGTCCACACAACAAAAAACCCCCATACCCATCGGACACACACAGAGGGAGGGGGGAGAGAGAGAGATCCAATTCAAAACCTGAGCGAGCAAGGCCAGCTGTTCGACGCCGAAGGATCTAGCGGCGGCGAGGGTTTCAAGGGCGAGATCAACGGCGGAGGTGCAATGCGTGTGCCAGCAACCCCTCTCCCCGCAATTGGGCCTGGGCTCGTGCTTCTGGGCACAATCGAGACCTGCCCACTGTACAAGAACTGGAGCATCAGCAGGAACACCTCGTACCCCACTGAATTCACCGGTATCACCACAGGGTTCGAGCCCCTTGGCGATGATGCCGAACCGGGCATCCTAGACCCAGTCGAGTCCATACCCATCGGTGAGTCGGGTCCGCAGAAAAATTTCCTGAAGAAGAGGCTCCGAGCAGCTAGGATGCAGCGGTGGGCGTGGACCAGGCGGCCCTCCACGCTGAAGGTCACATCGCTGAAGGCCTGGCCGTTGATCAGAGGTTCAGATAGTCTAGAGACAGAGATCTTAGAGATTCTTCAAGGCTCATGCTTGTCTTTGTGAAAGAGAACGAGAGACGATGGATTAGTAGGAGGTGAGGGTTAGGACTTAAAGCTGGATAGCTTCATCTGTATTGTTCTTCTCCACCTGAAGGCTGGGTACTGTTGATTTCTTTCTCGTGAGATTCTCTCTCTTCTCTCTCTCTATCTCTATCTCTATCCCAGACACACTGGTGGTGGATATATTTATTAGAGGGAGCAATTTGGGTGGTTATTCTGGCGGCTGAGATGTTGATTAAAAAATAAAAATAAAAAAAACCCAAAGGTAAATGGGTAATAATCTCAGGAAAACTGTTGGGGATAGAGGACAGGAAAGGGATGGCTACGATCAAGTGATTCCCAAGCAAAACGCCATAGATGGACATGGATCTGATAGGGGTTAGGGTAATTAATTTTCAGCTTTTATTAGACTTGTTAATCATTAATTCATCTTCTGGAAGAAGACACAGTCCATAAAAGGAGAGCGTTACAGCTGGACCAAGAATTCAACCTACAGTGATCTTCGCTGGATATAGAACGGATGAGAGTACCGGTTCACTACCAGTGATTCCACGTATTTAATATATTTATAATTTCATACAAAATTTAACTTAAACATTAGATAAGAAATATATGTAAAATATATGAAGAGGATTTAATTACTAGCTTTTCAGTTGTGCATCTTTTCAAAACGTGCCCTTGCATTTATAGAGGATGATTGTGCTTTTTTTTATCATTTTTTATTTTAATTTAAACTTTATTTTATTTTTAATAGGTTATATATACAAGAATTATAGAATTTTTTGGTAAAACTGGTCGAACTAATTATTATCAAAATGATACGAAATGTTTCATAAATTCATTACATTTTTTTTTGTATTAGACTTTTTTATTAATATAATAGTATCAGTCATAAGTATACACATGCTAAACACCTGATTCAATTAGTATAACTTTAATTTAAATTGATTCTGATAACTATTGTTCAACTTACCTAATATATTCTTTAATATTTAGACTTTTAAATATTATTTTTTTTTTAATTTTAGAAAAGGATGATAGAGTTTGATATATATATGTAACACATTAGTTGGCTCATTCTTTATGCTGGCACTAAATGTTGCCAAATGCCTCGTATTTGTGAGAGAAACGGACACCGAACGGGCAGATTTGTCTTGTTCTTAGTTCAATCAGTTTGACTAGTGAATTCCGCTCGATTGTGATAACTACTTTTTAACTTTAAAAAAACATGTTGTTTGATTTTATGAATTTTTATTATAATTTTTTAAGAAGAGAAAAATCTTAAAGCTAGAATTTTTTTATTTTCTTAAGATTTGTTCGACTGTCCTAGATTTTTACAGTACACTGAATGGTGAGAACATGGGTCATGGTTCAAGAACATAAATGGTCATTCAGCTAGTACAATCACATTCAATTTATTCAATGGATAAAGAGTAGGGTGAATGTGTGTGTGTGTATAAGTGTATGTATGTGTGTGTGTGTGTGTGAATGTGAAGAAGAATTAACAGTTCAATTGGGGTGTGACTTAGCAGGTGGCATGTCCTTTTTCTGCTGCCTTTTAGACTCGTGCTCAAGTCTCTAGGAGAGCAAAAGCAAGCTAGTATTTTTAGCATTGCACAGGATGTTGCACCAAATATTTTCAAGTACCCCCATTTTTGTGGGGGCATACTAAACCAACTAGTCCGTCTCATTTTCAATCAGTTCATATAACTATTTTTGAACCTTGTTTGGATTTAGGACTTTTTTAACATGGATTTTCCTTATTTTAGGGAAAAAAAAAAGGTCTGACTAGTTACCCTTCTTTATCTACCTATTAAATCCTTAGTACTTCACACCATATTTCACCAGTCACTGCCAAATATTTCATTTATTTGCTCCAATAAATCTAGTTCGGTCTGTGAACACGAGTGTAAACACATAATAAAAATAATGCCTGATTAATCAGATAAGATAGACGAGAGTTTTTTTGTGGTTTCACGTAAAAATCTCGTGTATTTTATTTAACATTTTGTATTATCTCTATATTGTGTGTATGCTCCCGTGTTCATTAGGACCTAAACAAATCTATGAATATCTAATATATTTATATTTTCTTTTTACCAATCTATTTATATAATTTTTTTCCAAAGATTTAAAAAAAAAGAAATTTTAGAGTTATGCTTTAAGACTCATTTGGCTGCCTAGGACTTCAACACTTTTTTAAAGTCCAAATGTAAAAAATAAGTTAAATTTTAAAAGTTGATAACGTGTTTGCAATCTAAAATCAGAAAGTTAATTCATAAGTATACAATTCATGTATGAGCCTAAAGAGCATGTAAATCAAAAACCTAGAAGCATGGGTTGCCAAACAGACCTTAAAGAACCTGTTTGGTTAGATTTATTCTAAGAACTATATAACTTATCCCTTTTAGTTCTGTACTAGTCTCTAACTTGGAATTGGACTCAACCAGACCATGCTTACTCCGAGATGAAGGCATTTATAGTTACAAAAAACAAAAAGTCAAAAATTTTCGAGTTTTGTTTAATACGATTATTTCTTAAATTATGAAAAAATAATTTATGAAGGTTTAATCTTAAAATATTTGATGTATAAAAAAGCCACAGATTAATTCTTTGGAATAGAAATTAAGAAATTAGAAAGTTCAAAAAAAAAATTGAAAAGAAAAAAGTTAAGCGGCTCCACACATCATAGTACAAGTCATCGCATGCTTGCGCTTTAGGCAAAGCTACTCCTTGTAAAAACTTAGTGGTTTGATTGGTCCTTTTGGGTGAAAAGCCTAAAATAATGTGGTTTAGCTTCCTTTGCAACGAGGCTTTTGATCCCAAAGAAAAAGCTATTATTGTCACGGGCTATTCTAAAGTCCGCAAGCATAACTTCGTGGCTTTTGCATCCAGGAAGTTAATAATTTCTTTTATTCCTATTTGGCTCCAAACAGGCCACATTCGATTTTGTTCTAGCTTGGAACATGTTGCAACTTGTAATTCTTTTTCCTATTTATGAGAAAAAAGAAACTATTGCATTACATACAAGTATAATATATTCAAGCATCAAATATAATTAATAATTTTTCAAATTATATTCAAATAATAAATACCAAAAAAGACTATATGAAATATATGTTAATTTCATTGAACAAACCAAAAGCAAGTCATTGGTTTTATTTGTCAAACTAAGCTTAACTGATTCCCAAGTTTAAAACCCTGAATTATACTTGAAATTGTGTTTGGTAAAAACCAGACCAAAAAGAGAAAAAGAGAAGCTGGTATTGGAGTATCGGCTTTCTTATTACTCAAAATGGTCAAAATACTGGACTAGCATATCCTTGTGTAGCGAATTAATTACATATATAACTTCTTAAAAGTTAGGTGGTTTGGTTACGTAATTATTATGTTTTAAAGGACGAGTCCATACACTTTTTTTATTTATTTTAAATGGTAGATTGATAATTCGTTTTTTTTTATTTTGTATACAGTATAATGGTTGAATCATAAATGTTGACCGAAATTATTGTAAATAATTAATAGTTTTGATTTTTAAATTTTTTGTATTATATATATAATATAATTATGACGTCACAATTCAATTGTAATTTAATTAATGATTAGATTGATAAATTGTGAACTGGTAATTTTTTTACCTCGACGAGTGGTTGCAACTTTTCAACATTCTATAAATAATTATTAACTTGCTAAAGATTAAGTAGTGTTTGTAATTCTATAATTTGAATAAATATTTCTTTACACTCTTTCGTTTTACTTAAGAATGAGGTCCGTTTTGTGGTAGTTTTTAAATGAAAGAAATTAATTAATTGGTTTGAAAGAAGACTCAATTTATATATATATATATATTTAATTAATTTATATATGATGAAATAAACATTATTGGGGGAGTTGGTTTCTGCTTTTAATTTGAAAAATAAATAAACTATTTCATTTGCATGTGACTCTTCTAAGTTCATGCAAACTACATGTAAAAACCACACAAATAAAGTTTGTTAATTAGGTGCAATTTATATATACGATGATACACAAAGGGAGTCCTTGATTTAATCCAGTAATTTGGAAGTGATGCGCTTGGAGCATTCTATTTTTCTTCCTTGTTTATTTAGGTGAGAGTAATCAAAGTGAGTTGCGTAGGTTATTTTGTCTGAGGCACTGCAGGTGTCAGACTCTGTGCGTCCTCTTGCTCAAATCTCCTTCTGTCATGTGAAATTTACCTTAAAATATTGCTTCTTCCCAAATGGAGCGCAAGCAGTAAGCAACCGTATTGGGGCGTCTTTCTGTTTGGTCAGGAAAGGAAGGCCTCCATTTTTAATTTTTTCAACCATATATAATATAAGCTGTAAAAACAATTATTTTTTCAATTTTCTGTTAATTTATCCTTTAATTTTTACAGGGTAAATAAAGTGGGTATTGAGAGCTCATCACTTGACAAAATCCCATTCCTCCATTGAAGTGATTCTGGGAAAGGAAGCTTTGCTTGGACGACAATGGCTGCCTAGGTGGGCTTAGCCCAACCATGAACATCAGTAGACTGAGGGTACTCCAATTAAAATCAAGATATATAGCTAATGATTGAGAAATTTTAAAATATAATAATTATTTTATAAAAAAATAAATTTTAGGAAATTTTAGTGCTCAGTATTTTTTATTTGTTTAGAAAAATATTTCAATAGTTAAATTCTAAAAATGTTATCCAATTGGTGCGGGTAAGGATGTTAGTACATTTATTTATCCATACAACAGATTTGTACATCTAGAACACTTTGATATAATTAATTTTAAACTGTAAAATAGATAAATAATAACAAGAAAAATTTCAAAACTCCCAGTTTTGCGTTTCGGGAAAAGTTTAAAATTCTTGTGTTTTGAAATATATCCCACAAAAAAAAAAAAAAAAAAAAAAAAAAACTCTGGCATTGCAATATCTTCTGAATTTCAATAAACAATTA